GAAATCCTTCTTTTATTGACATTATGTGGGCCCGAATTTGTTGCTCTCCAATGCACTCATGGCGATTATGTGAGTGATCAACAGCCGCTCGTTCCAGCATATGTTAGGCAGCTGATGCTTCACACATCTGCCCTTATTTATCATGGTTAACTGAATATGATTAACGTATATAAGTCAAAATAAATAAATAATGAATACTGCCCTGTAAAAACAGATCCATACAGTTTTTGCAATAGTTGTTTTAGAATCATAGTTTTTAATACTGTTAAAAACAATAGAACAAAAGAATAGAACTGGAAACGTATATTTAATTTATGGCTTAAAGACTGCTGTGATATTAAACTGAACTGCTAAACATACAGGGTATTTTGTCTGCATCTTCTAGACATATATGGCTCAATATTTTACCTTTATCCTTCCTACTCTCCATTAGTTATAGTATTGCAAAAACTAAAGCTGCCTTTAATTTTTTTTATCATTGTTGTGAAAGCTGTTGTCTTGAGTGAATACAGTTTGGCAGAAAATCCCTGCACACACAACATACATGGCAAGTTTATATGACGGTGGTACTTTTGGTATTTAGTAGATATTGCTGTGAAACTGTTGGTCTTGGTCTTATTATTCAACCCATGGCAAGTATACAGATAATTGTGTGTCCGAACAAGATTTTTATATTCATGTTGTTTCTCAGAAATTCTCATTTTGTTTATTATAAAAGCTCCAAAGTAACCGCTGCCCTCCATGGCTAAGAATAACCTGCATGCCTGAGTGGTAATATAAATGTTCATATCCAACATATGCTTCAGAGCTGTTTTACAATTTACTGCATTACTGCCTGCTGAGGCAGTCAGATGCATCGCTGATCAGCAGCAGAGCTAATATTCTGTTTATTGTCTTTTTGTGTAGAGAAGGCTGTAACTTGAAACTACCTGTTTAAACTATTTGCCACTGTCAGAGAAGCTCCCTGCTTTCTGAGTACTAGTTTAGAGGTGGAAAACACTTATTGACTTCTTTGACATTTGGTGAATTATTACAATTAAAGTGACTGGTCCGCTTCATAAGCCTTACATCGTTTTTGTGTATTACTGTAGAATAGTGAAGGTTACAGCACATATGAGAAAATGATGCTCATCTATTTTCAAACACGTTTCCATCAGACACTTAAAGAGATCTCAGAAACAATGGTCACAAAAACAAGCAGCAGAGTTTTGTTTCTTGATTATTTAGATAAATTCACTGCCGGGAGCTGATCCATGTATTGCTGTCTCTCAACATTTTGTGACTTGTTTATGTGAGCTGGGTGCACAGCTTGTTTGTGACATTTGCAGGCCAATGACATCAGTTTGTACTTTTTTTTCATTCATACGGTTCTATGGTTCTAAATGTTTTTCCTGCAGTTTCATTTTAGTTCAGCCTTTTCAGTTCCACCATTCCTGTTGATCCAAAACAAGAAACCAATTATTTTTAGGGTTTTTTGCAGGATATTATGGGTGGATGTGTCTGGTCAGGAAATAGCTCCCACATCCCAGACAAAGTGATAGAGCATACGCACTCCTGTTCGCAGACATTGAAATTCAGGCTCAGATTTACAATTCAATGAAGTCATTTCACTTTGTTAAGCAAAAAAAAAAAAAGGAACTTAATTTTGTCTTCATTATTTGAGTGTCGAAAGGTCACAGATTGGACCAACAAATCAAACATTTTTACTGTGAGTCACCAAGTAAAGTGTTTATGATTATGTAGGCCTATTGTCCAGGCAGACATTGTCTCCATCTCTGTCTTGTTTTTACACAAGTGTGTTTATTTTGATTGGAGATGGAGGCCCTGTGTTTCTGCCCTGCCCTCCCCTGCACTCAATGAGGCAGTGTTTTGGACCTGGTCCCAGGACCAAGCCTGAGGCAAGCTCCTCCACACCAGTCCCTCCAGAGCGCCGACTCTCACTGACATTACATCAGCTGGAGACATATAGTAGACACAAAGTAGATGTGTGTCTGCACTGTGGATCCTCCATTCAGCTTGTTGTGCTGAAGCCAAATTAAGTGCTCTTTTCTCTTGGTTCTGAAACTGTGAGATGTCATCATGAGGGGCAGAACCTAGCCGGACAGGAAGATAAATCAGTTTACTATGGCTGTAAGAATCATCCGTGGAATGGAAGACCTGGTGGCATCAGGCAGCCAGCTTGTTTGGAGCCTGGCACAGCAGACCTTGAGGAGGTGGTACAATAATGGGCTGATGCCGAGCAGACGCTTTCTTGAAGCCTGGTTCATGATTGGAAAATGCTACCAGGTAGGACAGCTCCTCCAGCAATAATGGTGTAAATGATGTTGGTAAATACGTTGTAGAAAAAAGAGCATAGTTGTCAGGTTTTATGAAATGTTTGCGCAGCATATGTTTAGGATTACAAGAAGGCTGCCAGATAGTTTTTTCTGACTACCCATTGAGTTTTATGGCTTATATTACCTAGACTCTCCCTTCAACTTTTTTAAGTGAAGTGAGTCCAGTTTTTTTTTTCATCTGGCTCATTAACATATGCATGTGTTTTATTTGTTTCAATGTTAGAAGGCAAAGGCTGTTTCTCAGTGAGGCACAAAGCCTGTTTTTAACAAGGGCTCAGGCACATATGGCAGTCATTAGAAAGCGGCATGACCGGCCGTTTGATCTCTCTGTCTGGCTGAGGAGGAGAACGTTCAAAGTTGTCTTTGAAATGCTTTGTAGCTGAACACCTGAAGACTGTCGGTGTGGTTAACACATCCTTCTTGCATTAGTTCTGTGTAAACCTGAAACGTTTTTGGTTCATCTTTTAGCCCTCGAAAAACATAGTGCCATTAAAAAATGTCTTTTGCATTCAGTGGCTACTTCATTTGTCTAACACTTACTAGCTAGCTGAGATATCAATTCTGCAATTTAGCATATGTTGTTGCACTCAAAGTGCAAGCTAAGATAATGGAGTCATAATAATGTGAAAATTGAAAATATAAGAATAAGAGTAATATAACGCTAAGGGAAATTATAGTGGGTATCAAGTTGAAGTAGCAGAAAAATATTTTTTTTTACAGCATTTGAAACATTTAATGGTTGCTTTTCACCAAAGTATATGCCAGTGTTATTTGTCACTCTACAAATAGTTACATAAGGAAGGTGATCAAGGCATGTTGCCAAACTCAGTCTGAGCAGGTCAGTATGGCTAAGGGTCAAAAGAGCACCATCAGGGCTCTCTGCCTTTAAAGAAAGGGTTGCCAGGGTTGGACCTCCCTAACACAGATTTGACCTTTTTTGTTGTTGTTGTTGTCAGAGACCACAAAAATAATGTCAGGTCCTCCTTTTGATACAGGCTGCTTTGCTAGGTAGGGACTGCTTTGCTAAACTACTTCAGAATAGTTTTTAATTGCCTGCATAGATTCGATTGGAATAAAAGACTTAGATTTGGTATAACTTTGACAGATTTTGAAGATGAATCTGAAATTCAATGGCTGACTGGGCTTTATATGAGCCTGTGTCAAAGGCCTTTGTCAAAATGTGGATGTCACTGCCCTGAAACAATGCCACACTGATAGATGGGCCTTTGAAAGGATTGTGCAATGGACAGCAACAACTATTCATGAAAGGGTTATAGTGATAAGTTGCAGATTCAACTATGGAATGTGATGTTTTTTTACAACCGCTAATATATTCCTATCAGCACATATCACAAAGAAGAGCTTTTTTTTTTAATTGAGGTTTATTGAGATTTAGTTGATTTTTAGTGTTCTTCTTTTTCAAGTCAGTAAAAAAAGATGCTGACATCCTCTGGACCACTGAGTAATGGAGTATGAAAATTAACTGCTGCTCACATCAAACAGTTAAAGTAATGAGTAATGTGTTTCAATCTGAAATTTGCATAAAAGCAAGCAAGTTACTGTGAAAACCTTTGTTGAGAAGTACATTTTTAGCCACAGAGCTGTTAATCTCACTTGGGTTTCGGTTAGGTCATTGAAAGTGACTGAAACAATATAAAATGAGATGATAGCTCTGTTGTGGTGCAAATAACATTTTTCATGGTAGACTGAAGATTAATACCATGCCAGAAAGAGACCTCAAGCCCTGCAGCCTCACTGGGTGTCACCATGACCAACACTTTCCACAAGAGGCCAAGCAGTTGGGTGCCATATGTTTTTTACTCAAAGTAATAAAAGGTGTCCTGGTCAAAATGCTGGGGAGCAAAACATTGTTTTTGCATTGAAGTTCTGCTCATTGTCCCCGAGTTCAAAAAGTAAACTCACCTGCTCTCAAATCACTCAACTCAAATAAAAAAAATCTACAGCCTGATTAGCCTATAACTATTATACAAAATAATATGCAATAACAATGGAAGACTCATGTGTTAAGAGTCTTCATTGCTATGTTATCATATCTACGCTGTCCTGCACTGAAAGGCAGTTGTGCTGACTGCAGCAGAATTAATCTAAAAACCATTATCCTTTAACAATGTGCTTGGGATTCAATTAAACTTTGCACCAGGGCTTCATTGTGTTTTGCTTGTGTTTCTGAACAGCAGAAAAAAACATGGCATGTTAATTTTTCAGTGGTTTGACTAACTAGTTTTCTTGCAGAGAAATGACATGTGCGGTGAGAAAGACAATAGCATGTGCAGAGGTTTTAATGGCAAGTAGAAACTATATGAGTCATTTTGCTCTTTTGATATATGGCTTAAATATCATTGCAGTTCTGTTAGTTTTTCACTTTAAACGAGGAACAGTATTTTTCTCTGACTGTGATTTGGAGCATGCCAAATGGAAATAAACCAATGGTGCCTTTAAACTACTCAGTCAGCACAAATACTAATATAGAGGTGAGTAACTGTTCATTCAGGAAAGAGCAGCAGCTATTCTTTTGCCAGAAAGTGGAATATGTTTTTTGAGTGGAGAGGCCCAAGTGGAGGTGGAGACTAAACTTTTGCAAGTAAGCCTACCGTGTTCTTCTTGCAGGAATTGTCATAACTCATGTTATTTCTCCTTCTACAGATGACAGAGGGCCGTCTGTGCCAGGTTCACCTCCTTGATGGCAGAAAGCTGGAGCTGCTGGTTCAGGTAGTTGACTCTTTCTGCTTGATTTCTAATGCACAAATGATGCTAAGCCCCCTTAACAGTTATCCCCATGCATTTGATTAAGCCTTTTGAATATTTCAGTTGAGAACTATTTTGCTTTTTATTTGTGAAATTGTTCTGTCTGTATCTGTATGTCAAGTTTTCACTGACATTTTTGGATTGATTTTGAGTTAACATTTCAAGAAATTAAACAAACCTTATGTATTTTATGATTATGTCAACAGCCCAAGCTGTTGTCCCTTGAGCTGTTAGATTTGGTGGCCTCACATTTTAACCTGAAGGAGAAGGATTACTTTGGATTGTGCTTTATAGATGACACGTAAGTAGGCTACATTTCCTTTTATAGACAATAAGGCTACATGATGAACAGTGTTTTTAGCCATGTGTTTGTGTTGTAATTTAACCCGTGGGTTGATTTAGAATTCTTGTTTAAAGAAACCATAAGAGGGTATACAAATAATAATGGCATTATTCAATCACAAGAAATAATTTATTCTTTCATATGTGACTAGTGGCCAGAATAAGTGGCTTCAGTTGGATCGTAAAGTCCTTGATCATGACTTCTCCAAGACATCAGGGCCTTTGGAACTCAAGTTCCTTGTGAGGTGAGTAGTTCTGTCAGTAAAAGCTTGCAAAATGTAGAATAATCCTGTGCTTTATCAGAATGATCAGTCCCCATCAATAAGAAAACCTCAGTGTTTTACATTTTTGAGTTAACTGTGTATGAATGAGACCCGATATGTGGCAAGGCAGTGTACTGAGGACCTCACAGCCTTGTCTTGGCCAGCAGGTGGCAGTGATGTTTAAGTGTTTCTAATCTAAGCCAGACTAGACTTTATGAACATGATGAAGTCTTGTCGCCTGCTAAAGCACTGAAAAAAAGGGCATTGACATGATATTTTTCAGTAAGTTACCCAACCTATTCTTTCCAGGTTTTATATTGAGAAGATCACCTTCTTGAAAGAGAACACGACGGTGGAGCTGTTCTTCTTAAATGCTAAATCTTTAGTATTTAATGTAAGTTTTTTTTTAATTATTATTGATGAACCGAAAAAGTGTTTTAGTTATAATTTTTGTTTCGAGAATTTCAGCCTGCTTAAATCACTGCTCTTAACAATCGATTGCCTTATGAAAAGACTATTGCGAGTATTGATATGCTATCATTCTTTTGTTATGAGTAGGCTATGCTCATTTAGCCTGGGGTTGATGGTCGAATTAACAATGGCTATGGCAATAATTGATAAGCTATTTTCTTCAAACATGGTTTATTTCTTTAAGACTTCATAGGACTATACTCGACTCTATGTTATCTTTATTCAGAATAGTTGTAAAACATTTCCATATATGCTATTTGAAGAATAAATGTCTTAATTATTCCTCTGAAACATTTTACATGCATCATTTCACTCAACTGTATACTGTTTTAAAATACTAAGATGTTAATTTGAGTGCTGCTTTCAATTGCTGTTGAAAATCCTTAATTTGATAAAAGTAACTTTTTACCGTGTCATTCAAACACCTTACACACCAGTACCTACAGCAGTACAAATATCTAAACCTTCAGGCATACATTTAGTTATAACAGAATTGTAGGACGTGTTAGGATTTAAAAAGTGTTTTTAAATAATCGTAAAGGCCAACTCTGAAGGTCTATTGCTTTATTAATCTGACCTTTAAGTGGATGTCAAATGAAAATAAACTCTACTGGTGTACCTCTATTAAAACATACATCTTGAATATCCGTGTTAGAACATAATTAACAATAATTAGTAGTGCATAAACCATGAAAATGCACAGGCAGGGGTGCAAAGAGGTAGCCTATGTTATAGGAAAATTTCCGAGCAGCAATTGAAAGCAACGTATGACCAAACGCAGCAGTGAAGTTTTTTTTTTTTTTCGCGGGGAGAGCAGACTAGTCACCATGGGAGACAGTTCAACCTGCTTTCGGACCGTACCACTTTGCCGATGGGGGTAGTTGCCTTAGGCAGGACTTTCAACTGAGCTCTCTATGTACCAGCGTGTGTTTTTTGTTGCCTATGGAAAATGTCATAATAACTCAGGTGCAGAAAGACAGTATTATTAACGCTTCACGGAAAACAGTAAATACCGTATTGCCCGTAGTGGTTCAGTCGGTAACGGTGGGACCGAGGTACGGGACGGGAACATTTTTTTCACAGATCTAAGTCAAGTGTTGGGACAGCCTGCACTTTGTGTGTGCGTGTTTTTCGAAAACCCCAGCTAATATTGATTTTTTTTTTTTTTTTAAACCATAGGAGATCATCGAAGTGGAGAGTGAAAATGTGTTCAGGTTAACCGCATTCGCATTGCAGGTAAGAAAGAGTTTGTCGCAGAATATGTGATTGAAAATGTGTCAGTCACTGTTAATGTTAATGAAGTGTGTCGAGTAGGCTCCGTTTGAAAACAGACAGTTGCCTCTTGAGGTTGCTCTGCTCGGAGCCATTGTTAAATAAACTGACCCCTTTTTTAACTATTATTGCCCTTTCATACAATCTAATGTTTATCTGTAAAGTAACACTTGACTAATTTGAGGAACATAATACAAGTAAGCTGCATTTTGGTGGATGTGAAAATAATGCACGAAGCTAACAATGCATACTGGGTAATTCAGTAAATTCTGCAATTTCTAATTCTTATAGTACTAACTTGTATTTTTCTTTCCTTTAAAGGAGGCCAAAGGAGATTACAGCAGGTAAGAATAAAAAAATAAATTCTAAATGTTTACTTAAATTGATATAGACGTGTTTTCATATTAAGTTTGACTCACATTTAAATGTTTTTTTTTGTGCGAGCAAAACAAGGTTTATAATAGTTTAGTTAAGTTATGAACTGAAATGTTGATATCTTCGGTGTACTGGTACCATGGACTTTGTATGTTTTGGTTTGGTAGATATATCAACCAGCCCTGTCAAATACTAACGTGTCCAGTTGGTACTCCTGACCCAAACTATGTATTGGGTTTTTCTGTACTGTGTCAAGAAACCATATTCTGGTTTTCAGGTTGTTTGGTCAGTCTTCAGTGTATAAATAATGCCTTTGTAGTCAGTTAATGTTTAAGAGTACTTGCTCAGATTTGATTTTTTTCCCTTGACATTCTTACGTTAATGATTACCTTGATTTGTTCTTGTGATATTACATTGGACCCCCCAGTGTCACATTGCCATATGTATGATCCAAACCTTTCTATTAAATCAAAATACTTTTTTCTATCACACTGTTGCCCGTTTAAGGAAGTTGCATCAATTCAAGGTCTCCTAAAATGTAACACAATTCTAGCAAGTTATTTTTGCAGATGTTACATCTCCTCTAACTAAAGGTCAAATATCCTTAAAAAACGAGTCCTGTTAAACACTTTCACATTGACAAAGCATTTAGGCCCAGGTGATGACACTGGTTGGACGCTGTTAAAAAAATCTCCATAACTTCTTCCACATTGATCTTATTTTCGGTGCTCTCTGGCTTGACCTTCTGAGAAGGTGTGTTGTTTTTGCAATGGAAGTAAAGTTCCTTGGTTGTGATAAGTAAACACTGCTATGTCTGAGTGAGTAACTGAGCAGGTTGAAGCAGCACAACCTGTATGCTTCCCCTGTACTTTGCCTCTAAGGGCCTCTCTGTCCTTTATGTGAACACAAAGATTGTGCATGTATGGTTTGACCAGCAATACAAGCAATGCTTAAAATGCAGGTCAACCTCATGCCAAACTATTCCCTTTGTTCTACTGCAAAAAACAAAAAAAACACACAGTTTGAGTGTTTATCTTATTGTGTGTATTACACACTTAACTTCTTACAGCCCTGAATGACCGGATACAAGTAATTTATTTTTGTCTTTTTACCTCAGTGTTTTGATTTAAAACCTTAGAGTGCAGTCTACAGAGTGCTCATGTGGGTGTGGGGATGGGCTGTACTTTGTCCTTACTCTGAAAGCACAACTAAAGACAACCTGCCAACAAATCTGATACAATCAGCAATGGTGGGAGTGTTTCCAAATCAAGCAGTCATTTTCTTTTATCTGCCAAGACAGTGCTTTTCCCTGCCTGTTTCGATTATTAGATATTATTTTTCACGTTTTTAAAAACACAATATTATTGCCAATTTTCTTCTTTGGAGAAATGCGTTAATGGCAATAGTAGTTGTTCTGAAACTTGAACCTTGCCGTAACTTAAGTACGAACACTTTATTTGTACTGAGGAACCCCCTGCTTTCTTGTGGGACTATTTCTCATTATTGTCCCCCCATAAGCCATATACAGTGTAAACGCCTTTTCTCTACACTGTATCAACAAAGGGCCCTGGAGCAGTGAGATTAGCTGTGGAGGAGTTAGGGATTCCTCCTCCTACTACAGTCAGTTGCCTTAAGACGGATGAGCCTTACAAACTGTCCAATGGTAGACAACTTGGCGGCAGGAGGACTCACTGTAGTCATGGTATTATGGTGTTATGGGCCACCCCCTGCTGTGAATTGATTGAATGCACAATCATTAGGGTTACTTGTATGGGAGTTCCCTTTGCTATGTCAGTAATTGTGTGACATCTTACATTGTATCTTGCTCTGATCAAACTTATTCACACGATAGTGTTATTGGTGATCAGCTACAGCTATAACCAATGATCAATTCAACAATGTAAAACTCTTCTTCTGGGAGTTAATAGAAAAGATTACGAAAACATGGGAAATCATCTAATAGATTTTCACATTGTTGCTTAACAGTTTCTGGAAGCAGGGATCTTCTTGAACTTAAATACATTTTTGCAGACATTGTCTGCAAGCCACTTTAAATCTCTCTGCCTCTATATGCACAGCTATATGTCTATTCTCTTGTCTTTATGTCCACATGGACCAGTATTACACCCAGACAGTAGTAGTCACAAGTTCTATTTGCAGGTGTAGCTTGTAGTTAGTGGTTCATTCACAGCAACAGGCTCTCTCATTGTACTCCCTTTACAGTAACCACGTTGCAGCCCAGTGGAATTGCTGACATGAGTATTATCTCCCCCACACTGGGTAGGCTGCACTGGGCTGGGCTGGTCTGTACAGGGTGTAGGAATTGCCCCTATGCCGCAAGCTGTGGGGAGATAACAGACGTAGTAATGAAAGTAATGTATTCCAGATTGCTGACAGAGCAGCACGGCTGCAGAGTAGATCACCTCGACAACGCCAGGCTCCAGCTCCCAATAAAGTATATACCGTCAAACATGCAGCAAAGTGCCATGGCAGCAAAAGGCAGTCAACCTAAGAGATGTAGCTACGGTGAAGAGTGATTCAAGTGCCTCTACCTTTGCAATGGCTCACTCTTGTTTTTTGTATAGTAAGCTGTTTCACATAACTGGATTGCTAAGCTTCTGTCCCACAATGTCAGCAGCTGCTAGTTTTTTTTATTTTATCTTTTTTTATCCGACAGAGACTTAAACTGATCCCCAGGAAAGTTTCTTAAGATCATATGGCCACTACCTGAGTCATGATGAGATGACTGGTATAGCTGGTATATTTCTTGAGCATTTTTTATTTAAGATAGGATCTGTCTTGCACATTAGAGTTCTGTGTCAGCAGTCACAGACTGTTTTGAAACGGCATCAGGGCTTGTACAATACTCCTTAGCACAGGGAGTCGCTGCCAAGTGTTTTGGAATGGCTTTTGTTCCTGTCTGCATTGGACTGCATGGCCCACCAAGCAAGAGCCCTGCTTTTCCAGCTAGTAGAAACTACGTAGTACTTCCTCCTACATGATGTTGGAATGGATCAGGGATCACAATCATAGACCTTGACAGTGATGAACCTAAAAAAATAGTCAGAATGCACAAGATTACCAAACTTTCTTAGAGCCGTTTGTGAATAAGGCCAACTCTTGCAGTTACCTGTTTCAAGGTGTGATCATTTTCTATAGTGTACACTTGACTTGTTATAATGTTGTTTATCAAGAGTAAATGACAGCTTAATGATTTTTGTTTTGAAACAAGCATGAAATGCTGAAAATAGATTTTTCACAAAGCCCTTCTAAAGGCTCCCTATGACTTAAAGGATCTTTATGTGCTTTCAGACACATGTCTTGCCAGACTTTTGTAATTAAGTCTGGCAAGACATGAGTGAAGCTCACATTTAGTCTTGCCAAACAGTAAAACTCGTTATACTGTAGAGTAGGGCTGCACAATTAATTGCAATTGCAAAAAACACATTGCAGAAGTCTGAATTTATCGTGATACAACTCTTATTGTAAGCATGCAATGCTTTCTAACTCAGCCTGCATATATTTTAAATATTGGATGGGAATCTGTGTATATTTGCCCTGCTTTTACACCATTTCACTGCAGTCTGATGAAGTTTAAGCTACACTTAGATTAATTAGTACCAATTTAGTAGTGAAGAAAAAAACTGCTTTTGGTTTTCATTTTGGATTCAGTAGGAAACATGTTGCTAAAAGTTATTGTGAAACCAAACAGGGGATACACTTTAAGACTGTAAGTCATAGCAAATATGCAGTCTTTAATATTTATTTATCACTTAAATATCACACAGATAAGAAATGTAAAATCAATATCCTGACAGAGCACCTTCACTTAAATGAAGCAAGCCAACTATTACAGTCATGCCTTAAGAAAGAACTAGAAACCACACTGTGAAAGCACAAAGATTGAAGACACTTTTCTTTTCTTTTTCAGTTCAGAGACTGCCAGATCAGACCTCAAACAGCTCCCAGCTTTGCCCACCAGCGTATTAAGGGAGCACCCATCTCTTAAATACTGGTAAGTTTTTTGAATTAAAAAAATGATTGAGGGTGAGGGATTGGGACGATCACACAGAGAATTATAGATATTGTGGTGATCATTACAAAAGGACTTCCTCTGCAGTACACACAAACAATTCAGCTGTCAGGTGGCCTCAAAGGTAAGAAACACCTGGTTGTACCTGGTTATACTGATCAGGGATGTTCCCAAAAGAACATATGTGAGTGTTTAAGTGTCTTTAGACCTACTTGATTCTTGGAGGACAGTTTTTTACTTTAATTACATTTGCCCATTAGCTTTGAAAAATCATATAGAAGGGAACACTATCCTTTAGACAGCCACGCTGCTGTTTTCACTCCTTCTTTTTTAATCCCTTTTTTTTCTTGCTAATGGCCCTCTGATGTTTCTGCAGTCTCTGCTTCTGATACATCAGTAAAAAAAAAATCATAATTAAAATTAATATTATTGTTTGATGGTGAATGAGTGCGTTCAACCAATTCTGTCTCGCTCAGTCCCTTTCTGTCTGTTCAGTTGCATTGTATTTTCCATCGTGCTATGCTTATAAGAGGGATGCTTAGAGTGAGAAGTAAATTGGATGCTTTTACTGAAGAGTTAGATGAGAGTCATCAGTAGGCCAGATTACGTTTTCTGCATGAGCAGGCTGAATATGTGTCAAAGAAAAGGGCCCTCTCACCAACACTCTGTGGATGGAATGTGTAACACTTGATGGAATATTCATTAAATGTTGTATTTATCCATTTGCAGTGAGGACAAGGTGATAGAACATTACAAGAAACTGAAGGGACTGACCAGAGGACAAGCCATTGTGCAGTAAGTTGAAAACAACAAATATATCCTATAATTAAAATGAGTTTGAAAATTAGGGTCAGTGTGCCTTATGCACTACTTTTCTTTGATGCGACAGTACTCTAGCCCCTACACCAGAATCTCATCATCCACCTCACATACAGTATCTGTACTGTAGAATCTTTTTTTAAGAGATGGCTGTCAAAAGCCAGTATGTTAATTAAAAGCCGTTTTCACATATGATTACGCACTACTGAGGAATGTCCCTGAATAAGCCTGATCTGGTTGTTCACAAATGCAACTCATAGCGGGAGATGAAGCAACAGAGTCTGCTTCATGACGCTATAGTAATAATATTATTTACCTTTATATCAATGCTGTGTTTAGACTGACTCAAAATATCAACAGAATAGCAGAGAAAAGCAAACTAGCAAACAGAAAACGTAATGCTGCAGTTAAACTATACATTCGAGAAGATCATCGGTCATGTGCATTCAATCTATAGTTGTGTACCGATCTAAGGGAATAAATGTCACCACCCCCTCCCACTTGTTTGAGTTGAATTCTCCTGATTATAATCTGCTGCATTCTCACATCAGCTCACTCTGACTTACTGTGGAATAATACTAGGGTGTGGCAGTCACAGTGAACAATTCAGCTGTTTGCGTTGACGCATGCGGCTCACCCTGAAAACTTCAGGAGTTTTGTGCAAGTGTGAAAGCACTAATATATTAGAGGAGTATTTCTGAAAATAGGCAACCAGTGGGCCTTTCCAGGATACCAGTCCTCCTCTTGAACTGATGCCCTTGAACTGATCAATTGACTGTCCCTTCATCTGTCATGGCCCTGAAGAAAATCGATAAGCCTGCCACTGCAAATGACTGTAGCTCTCAATGACTATAGCTTAAATTCAACTCCATCTGTTGTACAACAGCCAGTGATTGACAGTGATCAAGTGAAAGTATCTGAACTCCTGCTAACTTGTTTGTCTCTCTGAAGATATCTGGCATTGGTGGAATCCCTGCCGGCATATGGAGTCCATTATTACCCAGTGAAGGTAAGAGTGTTGTCCTAAGCTATTCAGAAGCTTAACCTTTAAACAAGCTTCTGTCGACTTGATATCTTCATACTAGTTTTGCTTAAAATCTTAGACATTTAACTAACTTTAACTACGTGCAATGCTTTGACACTTAAATCATGAGGTCTTTTCCTCTTTATAAACACATGCGCATTATTAGTTAGCTACTGTAGGAACACTCACGAGATCTAGTAGAAGAATTACACCATAAATACTTCTAATCTAGTAAGCTATTAAGGCATGTTTACTTCTGTTAATTCCTGTAATTTTCCATTCTGTAATTAATTCTATTTACCGACCGAACCAAATTCAATCATGGGGGGGAATTTACACCTGGTATTAGCAATGTGGTCTGGCTGATGGGATCACACATGGACAGCTCTCAGTAAGAGTCTGGCTAGATCATGCTCGCCAAATGTGTCGCCATAGACCACTTGTGATCAGATCAGACTTTTCTGCTATGCCTGGAAATTAATACGGCGCCTTATTTCCCTTCCTTAAGCTTTTAAAAAACACGTTATGATAGAAAAAAGGTGATGCATAAGCGCAGCACACAGGTGGGGGAAGAGATGTGCTTATGTGCACAGGAGTGTGTCATTATACGGTCTTAAGTGATGATGGGACCTAAAACTTTGTTTGATGATGTTCCTCTGCAGTTTAGTGATTATAAGTGAATTAAAAGAAATACACTGCAGAATGAAGTCTCTGTTTACAGTGAAAACAGACAACAAGATCACATATCCACGTTATGAAACAGCCGTCTCCTTATTGTGCTTATGAACTGCTCTGATGCACTGCTTGCGGGTCACATGTTGAGATAGCTTTATTCACAGCAAGTGGAGTCTAACATAACACACACACACACTGCTCTATTATAAACTGATTAACATATTGTGACTTATCTCTTAGGCTTGTGTCAGTCAAAGTTTATGCATTATAATATAAACAGTTGGAAGCTATAGGCCCCTCGTTGATCAAGTCTCTCCTCTACCTTGTCTTTCATGGAATCTTTCCGAATATATTAAATACAGTCTCCCTTATTTAAACATATGGAAACCAATATCCTGTATTTCATGCAGACCTGGCTCTACTGCATAAACTACACCTTCACATGTTGAAAAAAAAAAGTTTCACGAGTGGACAAATATATTGAATCTGTCATTTTTGAGATAAGAGTGGTCTATTAATCCATGTGATCATTGCCATGGGTATGGGGAGATTGGGTGGTCTTTCATGTCGACCAGGACGCATTGGGCTAATGGTTAATACATTAGAGCCAGTTGCAATGATCCAACAAAATTGCGAATGAAAACTTATCTATGTGTTTATAAAAACTCGAAAGTCGTAAAAAAGTGTGATAAAATCATATTGTGAACCCAGTATTGTGATATGTATTGGTATTTGAGCTGAGTTTATTATTACATCCCTAATGAGGACAAATGCATCCCAGACCTCCTGCATGTGTGGCCTGAGTTATCAGATCTCAATCCAGCCTCATGATACATTTTTAGCTGTGCTTTAGCTGTCCGCTTGTGATCTGATCACTCAGGAAGGATGTTGATAGGTGTAAACCTGGTCAAAGTGGTCTGACCAGATCCAATGACTTTAATGTTCTTGATTTCTTCTTGAGTTATTATAGGAGCCCTAAAGTCAAAATGAATTTGGCAAGAGGCCTATTTAGTTTTTAGTTTTTTTCCCCCAAACATTAAAGCTACTAAAGGTTAATGTGATGTTGTGTGTGTTCTTTCATCAGGACAAGCAAGGGATACCCTGGTGGCTAGGAGTCAGCTACAAAGGCATTGGACAGTACGATTTGCAGGACAAACTCAAACCAAGAAAAGTAGGTGCACCTCTTTACCTCTTTATCATATTATTCTCAAGCGTATAACATGTATCTTTTCATTTAAATGTCTTGCTTATAACAGATTTCATCATCATGCCTCTTGTTAGTTGGTTAATTATCCATCCACACTGTAAATAAGTGAATTTAGACCCTGATTCCCATGCCAATCAGGAGAGAGGAAGACAAATAGGAACTATATTTTTCTTTATCAGTCAGTGCTGTGTGCAGTCAAGGCCGTAGCTGCAAGAGCAAATAGAATACAGCACTAGCCTCAGTTGAATGTATTGTCATCATGATTACACAGCTGTTAAACTGACAAGCTTGTAAGGAGAAAATGTACAAAAAACAAATAACATGTGAGGCATTGACCCTTTTTATTGTTAGAATTAATATCATTGGGGAAACAAGCTCTACATGTGAATTAAATCCATTTTTTAAAGAATCAATCAGTAATGGGAGGTTTGATATTAACCTATATATCTGGTCTGAGAGGGTTGACACTGCATGTTATGACGTGTCTGTGAAAAATACTTACACTAAAAAAATCCTTGTGTGATCCTTGTTTTATACCAAGGCCCAGTGCTTCTGAGGTGTTTGTTATGTGTCCCATCAAAGTGTTTCTCCCCAGTCCCTTTTTATCTATGGTAGTAACCTGTTGACATAGCAGGATGTGCTTTTCCACTGAGCCACTAACAGCCACAGCGTCTCACCAACCCTCCTATTGGAAAGTGTAATTATGGTTCTCTGTGGGAGGCAGCAGGCCTCTGTGATTGTGGTTGGCCTTTTGCCAGTCGGGTGGGTTGCTGTATGTTTCGAGTTGTTGGACAGTGAGCTTGTTGGGGTGCTGAGAGGGCTCAATACCATTTTTTTTTTTACCCTCACCTACTTCACACAAGACGACAGTAACATTAGCATCCCTCCGGAATTTTCTGCAATAAAATAAAAATACTTCTAGATCTCTAGATATGACAAATAGCATCATACTTCTTTAGTTCACAGCCCTGTTTTAAACCCAACCCATGCCTCCTTCATTTCTGCCCTGTCAATTTAAAGTCTGTTTCACAAATGCAATGCACTCCTCATAACTAGTCAAAGGAGTCCTCCTCCTCATGCTGCAAGTAACCCCCCTCCAAACTTCAAACAAACAGAGATTTTCAAGATTGTGAGAGTGCATCTGACACTACTAATGTGTGAAAGGCAAGTGCCGTACAGTATCAGGGCCTGCATGTCCTGAAATTTTCTAGAAAATGTTACAACTTAATTTGTGAAAAGTGCTAAAAAAAGACCACTTTCATTATGAATTATGAATGAAATCAGGAGAAATTACTTTTGTCCTCATTCTGTTGGGTATTGGGAACGCTGAGAGACATGTGCTGTTCCACATAAATGAGGAGCCAGCAGAACCACATTTTTTCTTCAAATTTTTATTGGTGACAGTGTCAGCCTTTGGCTTATAATGACAAGATATGAGAGACCAAAAATAGATAAAAAGTGTCTTGGCAATTAAGTTAAACACATAGAAATTATGACTGAAACGATCCTATCTCCAGCCCCCTTTTTCAGTCAAATTCCCTCCATCATGAAGCAAAATAGATCGTTGCATAGTCTACCTAGAAAGTCTTGTCGTCATATTTCAACCTTGTGTGTGTGTGTGCTTTAAACACACAGAGCTGCCTGCCAGTCAGTGCTGGTGCATCACATGTTGTGTAAAGGGTGGGGCAGATCTTTTTTTGTATAGGCGTGTGAGTCAGTGCTTTGACAGATTTTCATTTGAGTATAATCTTGCAGACTCCTGGCCCTGGGGGTCCTTGAGTTGTGGGTGTGAGCTGGATCTGAACAGTCTGAGCTCATCTAAAACCACAGGCATTTCTGGATCTCTTCCACCTGCTATGAATAATATTTTTTTCAAAATAGAGAGATATAAATACTAAAGATATCGACTATCAAGCATTATGCAGCAGTCTAAGGAGAGTAGTTAGTTAGTTTCAATCATTGTTGTCACTTTTTTTGTTTACTTTGAAGGAGTAATGATGAGTCACTCATGTGAAGTGGCTTTTGTGTTGAATACATTTTATCAAGTGTTTCCTCTTTATGAAAACTACTCATCCTGTAAAGTAGAGATTGAGGAGTGTCACATCCTTCAAATATTTAGGGTGTGACATGCGCATCAGTCTCAGGAGAGTAGTAAGTTAGTTTTATCTATGAGTTGGCACAAAGGTGTGAAGTTTCTCTTACTGGGGGATGATTTGGAAGAAGTGAGTGTTTCTTCCCAGACTTTTGTTAAAATGTAAATGTTGCTACTGATAGCAACAAGGGTCTGTTTTCTTGCCATATCTTCCCTTTACAATGGGGTCAGCTATTTGGAAATGTCTTACCAGCTGGATGTCATTGTTTATAAAGTACCACTGTCTTTATATCAGTGATAGGCTCACTGTATGATACTATTGGTCAACCATGCCCACAATCACAATGAAAGTATTTAAAATTCAACCCTAAAAGTTTGATCTTCCTCTGAATGCATTAAAACCCAAATTAAACTTTCAGCTTGACACACTCAGGTTTCACTTTTGTTGGCTAGTGTTTTTGTCAACACATAGTGTTTCCTTTTGTCTTAAGTGGCCGAACTGAGTGTTCCCATGGCACATGAAAGCAAAGAGAGCCGCTGCTATTAATGATTAGACAAAAGTGACAAATTCCAAACATGTTTTCCCTAGGAGGCTAGATGGGTGTAGTAGATTTGGCTATACAACGGTGCTTTTGTGTGATGTTTTTTTTTTTTTTTTTAGATGAAAAAGCTGAAAACATTCCAGATTGAAGCTGATTATTCAAACTTTATGTTGGACTGATCATTTTATTGTTTGTGAAGGGAAGTGGAGAAGAGATGAAATGTCTTCAAACAAGGAAAAAAACACTACCAAGAAAAAACTTCTGATCTGGTCTGATTTACATGAAAGTGAGCTGACGTGGGAGAGAGGGGGGTGAAGAGCCTTGAAGACAGCAGGTATCTGTGATGTCAGAGAAGGAGGGCCTTTAAGGGGTGTGGCCAGTATAGCTGAAAGTCTTGCAACACCTATTTGGCTCCAGATAGACAAGAGAGAGTATTGTTTGAGGAAGCCCTAGCCCTGTGGGAAACTCAAAGTCAAAGGATTCAATACAAACCCAAGAGAATCCAGGAGAGGATTTGACAAGGGAAAAAAAACCTTACGGTAAGCCTATATTACCTGTTCAGCTTATATAGATAGATTACCTTCCTGTTTTATTGTTTAAATTTCCCTTAATTGTGGTGTTTTACTCTTTCGCTGTTAGATCCTTGCACTTCCTTACAAATGAAACCGTAAGGGAAGAACAGAAATGGGTTCATTTTGTAAGAATTGCATAACAAATATGTTTCTTGGGGGGAAAAGGGAAATGTTTCTCCAGTTGATTTCTTCACCTCTGTCCAATTTGTTACTTCAGCCACCTCATGTCTGGAATAAAGTACATCTTTCATTTCTGTCAGCTCTTCAGTTGTGGAGAATCACTTTTGTCCCCAAAATGACGGGGGGGGGGGGGCAGATAAGTGACTCCATGTCTGTCTGTTGATCCTAGTATCAGTGGAGCAGAGGTTTGATACTGACACAAACTCTCTGTCTCTGTTTTCCTCCACATCAGAATGACATGAGAAGCTGGCAAAATGTTGCCCCCTACAGTTAAACAAGTGTTATGAATGCTACTTGTTAGCCTGAACGTATCTCTGACTGGCCTGATGAACACCGTTTATCGCTTCTGATGTTTTGTAGTTTATGCCATTGTTGCAAGGTGATGAGAAAAGAACTGTGTAATACAAACTGCAGGTTGTTTTAATACCTGCCTCCATATTGTGTCTTCTTGTTTTGAGACTTAATTTGTCTCTTACCACCTGTATTAAATGATCTTTCTGCTTCGATACAGTTTTGTCTCTTCGCAATCAATTTTCATGTGTCGGCTTGTGTACTAAGTGTGATGTCTCTCTCTACCTTCCCTCCCCCAATTCTCTCTCTCTCTCTCTCTCTCTCTCTCTCTCTCTGCAGTTGTTTCAGTGGAAACAGTTGGAAAATTTGTATTTCCGTGAGAAGAAATTTGCTGTGGAAGTGAACGACCCACACAGGTCAGAGGAGGCAGACCTCTTAATCTATTTTCATTTTTCTCATTTTAATAGGACCATTACCTGTTTTTGAAAGTTCCCATTTTAGCTGCTGCTCTCTTGCTTTCTCTGCCCTTAACCTACAACGGACACACTATGAAGGGTATCTGCAGCCAGTGGCCAAATTAAAACACACATTATAAGTTGTAACCAGTGTGTTAAATGATTGTTCTCCTGCTTTTTCAAATGTCATTTTATTATTTTGATTGCTTCCAACTCTGTTATTAACACTTACTATCTGTTTGAGAATGAGTTTGATCTCCCTGTTCGACTCCTCTTTTTATTATTACATACACAATTGGATAAAGATTTTTAATTGTCCTCCTTACTTTGGGGGTGGCTGTGGCGCTGTGGTCTCTCAAACTGAAAGACTGGGGGTTCAAGTCCCATATCCTGCAGTCACATGTCGAAATGTCCTTTGGCAAGACCCCGATTTACTCCCACTGCTATGCCAGCGGCATGTGAATGGAATAGCACTGCCATCAGTGTGTGAAAGTTGTGTGAATGGATGAATGTGACACTCAGTGTAACATGCTTTGAGTGGTGAGAACACTAGAAAAGCGCTATACAAGTCCAAGTTCTTTTACAATTAATGTACCATTAATTATTTAGAGAATGTATACAGATATGCCTCTTCTATCAGCACAAGCACTGAGTGTGTGTCTTTTATCTCCCAAAGCAGAACAGTGACAAAGCGGACTTTTGGACAGACTGGTCTTGTTATTCACACATGGTATGCAAGCCATTCTCTGATTAAAACCATTTGGGTGATGGCCATCAGTCAGCACCAATTCTACTTGGACAGGAAGCAAAGCAAAGTGAGTATCGGTTTTCTCCTCACCTTTACGTTGTTCACACATTTCCTGCCTCAGGTTTAGTTTGAGACAGACTAATAATTATTTTTACACTATGCTTGACCTGTGATGAGAACTAGACTCATGTTGTTTGTCCTGTATAACTAACCAACCTCCAGATCCGTGTCAGGTGTTGGTGTAGGTGAGGTCACATTGTGAAAGACAGATGCTTGAGGACTGAATGACTGGTTGATAAGTGTAATATTGTTTTTCATTGGACAGTTTGTCAAATAATTAGACCCTCTAGAAACGTAATTCTGGTTGATACTATTTCAAACTTTTAGTATTAAAAATATCGTTGATCTGTGCTCACACTCAGGAACTCAAATCTAAGGAAGTTTATTTGTCTAATTTCTAGTCAAAATCTCATTACACTTATTATAAAAAGCAAAAAGCAAGGCCCAAAATTGCTTGTAGGAAGTTAAAGAAAATATGACTATGACGCAATCATGGAATGTTATATACTGACTAATTTAACAAAAATATCTAATTTAAAGAAATAACAAACAAAAGGTACTTGCCCCATGGGCAGTTTTTCTTGCCTAGAATAATGATTATTACATTTTTTTGTACTAGAAATATAACAAACACACTTTCTTAGGTCTGAGCTTTGGGAGTGCCCATCATTCTCCTTTGTTTGAATGTGGCCTTTTTATTTTACTGTAGTGTTACAGCCTGCTGTAACAGTGACTGTTTGTCATGTGATGCACTGTCTGTTCTTGGATTACGACTTGTTTAAATAGCTTCGCAAACAGATATCACATGCCTCTAGTTTCAGTGTCCCCTAATGGTCAGACCTATTTTGGGAAATATATGGCAAACTTTCTTGAATGGGAATAGAATCTCTGCACTCAGTTCACTCTAAGCTACAGGAACTTGAAAAGCTATAATTCGAATGGATAAAAACATGAATATCCTCTGAAGAAAGACTTTCCCATACAGAAGGCACAATAACATAACAGTAGTTGTAGTAGAGCTGTCATTTGTCTGAGGGTTAACACAGTGGTCCATATGTTTGCTGATGATGCATATTTGCTGAGCATTAAGACTATTGTATTATTATAATGTATTATGAGTGGTGTCTGATCTGCATTTCGCGAGAGAGATGGATGAGTATGTGTAGCTGTAGTCAAATGAGGTTATTCAGCCACCGTGTGCCTCAAAGGCAGATGGTGTGTCAGTGTTCATCCAGGAATAGAGCCTACACTGATTGATGAGAGCATGCAAATGGAGCTGTCTCTACTGCAGTGCGCTATCATTAAAATGAAATGCATACAATACCTTCTTCACTACTCCTTTCCCACATCCTCATCCCAGTTTCCTCCTCCTCACCGTCTCTTCTCACCCCTCCAGTCAAAGATGACCACGACCAGGAGTTCAGTCGACATCGCTGTCGACCTCACAGAAATCTGCGCTCCGCGGATCAGCAAACTTTCCTGCAAAGATCAGCTTATCATGGCGAGCAATGGAAGCCTTATCTCAGCCGGTAAACAGACAGTTAATTAGCTCATTGTTTCGTTTCCACATCAGGTTGACACATAATGTGATATCATTAAATGATTAACAACAATTATTACTGAACTTGAGTTTTATTTGACATTTGTATATTCCAGGTTCTGCAGACTCAGAAGTCAATGAGGAACAGAAGAAAGAGAAGATCGCTGAGCTGAAGAAGAAAGAAAAGAACCTTCAAGACACACTGACACAGAAACTTGAGGAATTGAAAAAGATCTGCTTGAGAGAAGCTGTAAGTGCCATTCTCATTCAGCACTTTTCCAGTGGTAAAACCCACACTGCCAGCTAACTGTTATCACTCTTATTGCAGGAGCTTACAGGCAAACTGCCTGAAGAGTATCCCTTGGCATTAGGTGAGAAGGCTCCACATGTGCGGCGTCGTGTTGGGACAGCCTTCAAGCTGGATGACCTTTTCCCCTACGATGAGGTTGGTATAGCTGTTGTTGTGTGTTTTTGTTGTGATATATATCCAACACAACTGTTTTTGCCTGGATATCTTGACTTGACTTTTTGAGATAAGGCAGATGAGATTGACGTGTTCTGAGACTTACATTGCATAATGCCCAATAAACATTTCTATATGAACATGTTGGCACACTAAAGAAAATATATTGATTTAGTTTCCAGTATTTTTTCTTTGAAGTGTGAGATGTGTTAAGTCCTTTTTTTTCTCCAAACTACTGCTGTTGCTGTAAACTGTGCTCGATTTTTTTGTTGCTCTGTAGGATCCATATCTGAGGAACCTTGAGAGCAGGGTCGCCTTGCAGCAGAAGATCGTTGAAGCGGCACTTAAGTTATCAAATGAAGATGACCTCTGCAAGACAGTGAAGAAGAAGAGAAGAAATAACTGTCTTGATGCAATGAGGAAGCTGGAGGAAATTGAGAGGGATATAAACAACTACAGGATAAGGAAAGGACAGAAACCGACGCAGAGAGCCTCACTAATCTTAGCAGGTATATGTCACAGATTATAGCAGTGAGCTTGAAATGATAATTGATAGATAATTAGTATGAACAGTTTTCATTTAGTTTAAAAAGTGGAATATTGTTGGTGTCTCTAAGGACCCTTGTCTCTGTTCTGTTATCAGATGATGTCAACCCTTCAGATCTCAGCTCTCTATCTGACAGCCTCACTCTGGATGATGGTAAGTGCCTAGGCGTAGCCACGCCCCCGGGGTGCATGTGTTTACTCCTTCTCCTTTCACAGCATTTCAAATCATTTTTAACCAGGCAATAACTTTTATCTTCCAGATGATGAGCTAGTTTCCCAGAGGCAGCAGTCCCGATCAGTTCAGTATTCCCCAAGACCACACCATGCAGAAACTCTGGACATCCATTATAACAATGACAGACGGCCTTCTGCCAGTGACCAGTATGCAGACTGCAGGTATACAGCTCCTGCTTACACCATGAAAGACATATTCAATTTTCTGTATTTGTGTGAGAGTTGTTTTAAGAGGCCCTAAGCATGGAGCTAGTAGAGACCTGTAGTGTAGATCCAGACCTACATTCCTGCCAGTCTCCTCCTACTTTTTTCCCCGGCCTCTATAATATCCTACCTCTTATCAATTCTATGCACTGGCTTTAAAAATAGATGGAACAGAACATGTAGCTGCATGTGGAGAAGCAGACGACACTTCTAAGCTGAAAGGGAGAGGGAAAGTGGAAAGTGATTCTGAAAACTAAACAACTGTGTACAAGTTAAATGTGTGATTTTTTTTACCCTAGGCTAAAACTTTTAAATCTCATTCAAAGCAACACCATGCTCACTGTTGCATGACAGAAAGATTCACTGACTTTGTAAACACAGCCTTCATGGTGTAAGTAATGACAAAAGTGATTAATTTAAGCATTTATAGAGTTTTTTTCCCCTACAGTCTTGAGAGCAAGTACACAGAAAGTAAATGTCTTCATCTGATACAAAATGTTCTGCCCTAAGGAGGCAAACTCTCTGAAAATGTGTTATCTTTGTTCTAGATTAAATTACAACCAAGTCCATGAACCACTCCACTTCAGTCACCGTGATGCCTTATCAAGCAACAACAGCCTGTTTAAACCAGCTTCCAGGCAGCCACGTGATGCTCGGAGCATGCCACCCACCCCCATCCTCACCCGCAATGCCTACAGCAGCACCCACCTCCGGTAGGTCCTCAAAGAGTCAACATGTATTTCGGAAAATGTTTCCCTCTCTTTTCTTGAATATCTGCTGTGTGGAAGTAAGTCAAATTACAGCTTCAATTAAATATTTTTCATCTTTAGGTCAGAGGATGCCCCTCAACATTTCCGGCAGCGCAGTGGTAGTCTTGAGTCCCAGTCTCAGTTCCTGACGGAGGCCGAACCGCCTGCGCAAGCATTCCCCTTCTCCCAAGAACGGCGCAGCAACAGCACTGAGGTCCTTGATGATGGCTCTTCCTACACAAGCCAGTCCAGCGTAGAGTACACCATCCCAGGCAACCACGTACACAGACGCAGAGCTCGTGGCCGACACAGAAAAGACATTTACGCCAACACTGGTAGCATGCCCAATCTGGCACAGCCAGACACCCGCTGCCACGCCTACCAGCCGCGAGCCCGTCCTACCACAACAGCCTACTACGTCACAGGCTACCCCAGCTATACAGAACCAGAGCCTTACTCAAATGGTGCCTACATGTACGACAATGAGATGGAGGGACACTATAATGTCAACCCTGCCTACCATGCAACCCCAACAGCTTATCACAGCCATGTCATGCACAGTAACTATGGTACTGATGAGATAGACGGCTTGTCACAGAACCCCTACGCCACACTGAGGCCACCTAGGAACCGTCCAGGGACCCGTAGTAACGAGCACGTCGGCAAGAACATCCAAAAGGCTTTGGTTGCCGAACATTTGAGAGGCTGGTACCACCGCAACGCTGCACACAAGCCACCGTTCAACCAAGACTACGACAGAGGCTCCCAGCAGAGCTTGGGCTATCAGACTATGCCTGCGCCCTACAGCCACAGCAGTAACATGTCCTACTCAACAGGTTGGATCACTGCATCCTATATTACAAGTCTCTACTGCTTTATGTTGTAGACCCTAATATTTCATGTTGGTTGATCATGTACTGACTTATACCTTTGTTTTTCTTCAGTGTCCTCAGTGCCCTCAAGTGCAAACTGGCACAGCAACATGAGTGTTAGTGGTATGTCGGAATATGACATGCCCATGCATGCACCGCAGTCCTACTCTTACAGTACAGCACCCTACAGCCACTCCGCCCACAGCAGGTAAGAAAAAAAAACTTTGCCTCAACTCAACTTCTTATCCAATAAGTCACTCCTTGATCCTACTTATCCCTAGTGCTAAGCACTGCTTTTTAATTGCCTTGAATGGCTGGTCACAGAAAATATTAGCTGCTGTTTGGTTTGCAATTCCTGACACACAACAATACTGTGGTCTGCTGCTTAGCCAATGTTACTGTGTCTTCAAACTCAGACTTAAGTTAGAACACAAAAATAATGTATCTACCTCACATGACATCTTAGTCCAGCAGGAGGATTATAGGATCGTTGCAGCCAGCAGCCACGTTTTCTTCCTCAGAGCTTCCGACTAGTTCTACTCCCTCCTTAACTGTCTACTGGCCCCTGCTTTCTTATAGATACGGTGCCTCCCAGCTTTTTAAGGGCTCATGGCACAGCCCTGATGGCCAACGGCACTGTGCTTTTCACCCTGCCAGTTCTTCCTCCTCAGCTTCCACCTCCTCCTTTCCCTCTTCCTCCTACTCTCCTGGCTGTCTGGTTAGACAGGTGGCCTCCAGCCCTGCACAGACAAAATCCTCCAGAGTCCACAGGCTCAGTAAGGGGCCCTTTGTGAAAGGTAGTTCATAGTAAGTAAACAGAAATGGCTAGAGCCTGTGCTTCTGCGTCGTTCAGTTTGTCTGCATCGTGATTTTATAGTCTGCTTGTTGATGTTTTGAAGTGAGCTTGCATTTTAGTAAAAGGTAACTGCATGGCTTTAAAAAAGCTTGCCTGCCCCAGTTATTCTTAGAGCATACTGTCATCTCCTGACCAGATTTCTCTGCAGTGTGCTTTCACTCCTCAGAAAATGTTTTGTTTCCGTCCCATTTTAATATTTTCTTGCATATGCAGAGGCTTCCTGCCCGTGTGCTTCTATTCACCTTTGACTTTGCCCCTTCTTATGCGCAGATGTCCCCCAGAGTTTGAGTGGCAGAGCTTTGATAGGATGGCATGCCCTGTGGGGCCTTTAGAGAAGTGTGGTGCTGTTTCCTATGCTATTGGCCAGGAAAATTAAATCCCTCCCCCCTCACTTATCAAAGTCACAGCACAGAAGAAAGGGTGAGAGACAAGACTGTAAACTTCCCACTTGGTTATCATGGTGATGGTGATGTGTGTTTCTATATATGGCAGAGATGGATAGAGGGTTCCTCATCATTTATTAGTACTGCTCCTGCTTTTTTTTCTTGGTGTCTTGTGGTTGTGGGAGAGTGCTTGTGTGGCAGAGGAACAAAGGTGACTCCTGTATGTCACATTTGAAGGCTTTGTGTGTGCATAATGTATTTGTGCATCTGCTGCTTTGTTGGGTGAGAATGTATGACCCTGGGTTTTTCTTTGTATACATTTTTATTAACCTATTTAAATGGCATTTGGTAACTAAGCAAACAAATGATTTCAATCCTTGTTGTTTCAATTGAGTTCCTACTAAGTGGCTAAAATATTGCAGGATGTTGTTGAAAGCCCAGGGTTACTTCATTCCAGTTATTTTTAACCATTCAAAAACTACAGTCTTCTGCTACCTGTCTAATGGGTAAAATTCTTGTGTTTTCACAGATCTTACATAGATGTCAACCAAATGGAAAGTAACCTGGAGCCAGACGACCAAATTTGCTGGAAAGAAGACTCAAAACCGGGAACAATAGTGTAGCTGCCTATCTGTCATTGTGCAGTATTTTTCACCTTGACAAGTTGTCACTATGCCTTAAACTGCACTTACCTGTTTTTGTGTACAAGATGATCCAAAGAATGAAGTATCATAACTTCTGTGGAATGCAGCATGTGAGGGGAATGTAGTCCTCTCATTTTCTGTTCGCTAGAAGGAAATCACAAAACAGTTTTTACAGGATAACAAAACCCCACATGAGCGTCTACAGGTCTGGATTGCAAGTGTTTGGGGTGATGGTACTTGTGCACTTAAACTATATAAGGACATGCTGTGGACTGTGTGGTATCACCAAAGGGAATGTGGACTTAACCCAGCAGTGTCTCTTCATGGAGATGCAGACTTCTCAAACCAAGGACAAGGATTGCCACTGTAAGAGGATACTGAGCATCAATGAACAAAACGGCTCGTTCTGACTGCCTCACAAATGTATGAACACTGTAACCATGAAGGATTGAAAAAAAAAAAGATTGATAAAGACTTTATCAAAATGAAGGACTGAACTCATTTAAAATAATGAGTTACAATGACCGCCTGAAGTCACCAGATCAAGTTTTATCAAAGTATTGTTTATAGCCACAACAGTGCTTGATTTACTTTTGTTTGTCAAGTATTCAGTCTATCTCACTGGCAGATTGAGCCAAATACTTCTGCCACACCAACTGAGTATTTCCTGAAGTCATTAACTCGTATATCAGTACCACATCTGATCAGTTACTGCAGGAAGAAAGAAAATCCATGTTTGCTTTGTTTTTTTTTGTTTGCTTTTTTTACGCGATTATTTCATCCATGCTGGAAGTCATGGACTGGTGCTCACTATTTCTCTGAAGAGAATGACGCTATGTGTAAATATTGATTTTGTAAATACACTGGTTCCACCTTTTATAGAACATTTGTATGTATTTTGGAAGCATGTAATATATAGTTAACAATTGTTTTTAAGCTGGTTCTTAGTTATTTGTACAATTGGATTCAATTTAATTAAAAAAAAATCAGCATTTGAATCAGTTGTTCAGTTTTAATTTGATATAAATAAGAACAATACAGTTTTAATTGAACAAAATAAAACCTCATCCAGCAAAGTGCAGGAAAACACTCAAATCTAAACCCATTAAAGTAGGCAGTTGAATGTCTGTTCAGCTAGTTCAGTGAATACAAAAGGTTGTAAGGAAAGTAGAAAGATCGTCAACACTTCAAGTCTCATTTGGATGTTTTCCTCCCAGCGGTCTCGGGTTGGTGGTCTTGGTTAAAAGGAACACAAATGCATTCTCTACCTACAAAGGCTCTGAATACTGCTTGAATTTAAGGAAGCAGTAAAGTTAAGAACCATCACAGTTTTTCCCCGTCTTTTAAAGATCTCTGTGAATTTCGGCAGGGCTTCTTTGGGTCAGGATGAGTGATAATAACAAAAGTTATTTTCTTTTAAATACTCTCCTGCTGCAGAGCTCTGTCGCTGTTTGCTCGTACTAGTCGTGTTTTCTATGTCCTTAAGCCATAAACTGACCAAACCAGTCTTTAAAACCTTTCACACCTATCATGAGCTAAAACCTGTTCTTCTGCCCTCCCTGTAAATGACAAGCTAGTGTCATACCCTCACCCCCTTCCAATTCTGTAACCCTTCACCTTGTTTTCCTTCTTTGCCCCATGTAAGGGAGCATTATTTATCCCAGATATATCAGAAGGGCCATAATGGAGCAGCTTTACTTTGCTTGTAGTGCCGCCCAGTGTGTTTGCTTCATGATCAAGATCTTGGGAGGTCTCCAACACTTCCAGATCCTCAGCTTAACCTGAGGCAGTGTGGGGGTGGGGGTTGGTTCTGCTCCTGTGCTGCTTTACACCAGCTGCAGTCAGACATCAGGCAAGGCTGTTCCATCTGACATTTGACTACAGACACAATGGACTCTTGTCTATTTTCCCCTCATCCAATACTCATTATTATCTGTACAAAGTTTCAGCAAAAGATTCAAAGATATTTGTATGTTGGTGCCAAAAAAAGAACACTGGACTCCTCCTATCTGTTCTAAATAAATAATTGATTCTTTATGCACAGTTTCGGTATCATGGCCTGTATGTTTCCTCTGTTAAACAGAAAACATCGAAGATTCACACCTGTTGGGGTGTGCAGCAGCAGCAGCAGCACACGTGTCAGTAGGACCCTTAAAGCAGCTGCAGCAGTTGGAACAAGGGCCTCCTCTGTTCTGTGCCGTCAGACATGACTTAACTAGAGTTTACTGTCATCAGCACTTCTGTTCACTCATCCAAGTTGCACAATATGGATAGAGATGGGCAAAGGACATAAATCAATTCTGTAGCCGAGGGCGAAAGCTTTGCAGCTCAAGTCAAAGTTAAACTGAAGCTCCACAGGAATACTATGACACCCAAGTGTGCAGAGGTCATCAGTGGGGGTCATTCACTAAATCTTATGCGTTTCTTAAAAGTAAATTAGTTTCAGTAGCTTTGAAAACAAATTAATTCATATTACTATTGGAAAAAAAACACTCTTAAGCAATTGTCCTTTAAATTTCCATCATTCATATCTTCGCGTCCCTCGTTACTTTTAGCTGCCTCCTTAAAAGTTGCAATGTGTTCCAGATGGATTCTTGTAATCTGCAGTTAATTACAAAAGAATCCAACATGAGAAAAACAGCTGCAGTAGCTGACACAGCAACAGACTTGGGTTTGGAGGTGTGTGACTGCAAGGGGAACTCTGTCACTGTGCAGCGCTCAGCATCCCACCATAATCTACTGCAGCCCTTTGATTAGCATTGAGGAGTAAGTGAAGAGGCAAGCAAGAGCCATCCTATTACCCAGGAGGCATTATCAAGATAAAGCATTCAGATGTGCAAGAGGAATATTGATGGGCATGGGTAAAGACCTTGCACTCCTTTGATGTCTTCACTTTAAATATGGACACAGTTTTTTTTGGAGTCACAGGCATTGCATAACTCAAGACAAGCCAACACTTTCCCCATTTTGACCTGCTCTTTTTATTTTTATTATCATGAGGTTGTTTGGTTTTTATTCAAATGCATAGCTAATTAAACAGTTAAATTATATGGGAGGTTACATTATTCCCAAAATCGAAACAACCAAACCTTCAGAATACATTGGCAGTGACGTGTGTTGAGTTTGCACTTCTTATTCTTTGTTACAAAGCACGGCTTGCATAACTTAAGAATATTAGCAGGGAGGTGGCTGTTTCTGAGACTGATTAAACACACATTTCATACCAAAGTTGAAATCTGCAGCTTTGTTGCACACAGACTGTAAATAGGCTGCACAGGAACAAATTGCATAGCAGAGCTGTGAGGGAGTATTCAGATGCCCTTATCACAACTTCAAAAAGTGCCCCAACAAGTTCTGGGTGGAGTGACAGATACCCTGAGGTAAAAATAAAGCCCTTTTGATTACGAGTTTTCCTTTCTAAACACAGAGGTGAATATGCTGTATCTGATACAAGAGTTAGACGGAGAGATTCTATATTGTGCTAACATCCCAAGAGAAAATTCAAGAGTCTTTGGTAAAAAAAAAAAAACCCAAAAAACATGTGCATGTGTCTGTGCTCCTTTCCGTGTCCAGTCACTCCTTCAGTTTTCCCTCCAGAAAGCTCTGAATCTTTTGAATGTGCTCCTCTTGCTGACCAAGAGCCTCCAGCAAAATGCCCATGGGTGATCTCTTCAGTCCAGCTCCTTCGATCTTGTTCTCCAGTTTGTTTTTCATGTTGCGGAGGCGAAATGAAGCATGTGCAAATATCACTGAAAAGCACATGAGAAAGTGATCGTCAATGTTCGACCAAAAACAAATCTTCTTATTACTATACTTCAAAATCATTGATAAATTGCCATTAAGTCATTAAAGGTTTATAAAAGCAAATTGCTTTTTATTGTACTTTAAGATTTTGCCCTTTAGACTTTATATTCAGTGCAATAAACACTGTTGTCTAAAATCACTTTGAACTTACAAGCCAGAGGTAAAGTGATTGCAGTCATAAACACCATTACACTCCCAAGTATAGAAGTGATGATGTAGCTGGCCACCATCACAGCAATCAGAAATGCTGAGGGATTCTGCCTCTTGAAGTTGTTTATCGCAGCTCTGTTCTCTCCAGCCCACACTGATCCCACGAATATGACTGAAACCACAGTCATGGCTGTGACCATCCCCTTAGGGTTCATGAACCTGCAGGGCAGTAACACAAGAGTTAGGAGGGATCCGTTTAAACCTGCACTGAAACGCTTAAAGCACACAAGGATCTTTTAAGTATGGTCACTGGCTCCACCTAGTGGTTCAACATTTTTTTCTATAACAACATGAGACCTTTATAAGCATCAAGGACAGGCAGAATTTAAAAAGAGTTCTTCCCCAGTATATTGATATTTAAGAACTACTTTTTAAGGAACAGGTGACACAAAACAGTTTATTCATGTTCAAAAAGATGATGTTTCCATCACTAGAACACCTCCTTACATAAATAAAATAAACCACAAAACAGACAAAGAAAAGAAACCAATATATATTTAAACGATGAGTCAATAATTACACAACAACAAGCATTATTATAATATTATCTAACCCTCCAATGTGAGGATTTGCTAATATTCTGATTTATCCAATAGGAAATTGAACATATTTATTTTTCTTTTGTTGTAATACAGTATTTGTATACATTACAAGACCAAACAATTCATCATTCATTCATTTCTTACAGGAATATAGGTCATTATGATGTATTATTATCCTAAGTAGTATGTTTGTTTGTGTCCCAACAGTTATTCACCCGAAGACATAGATTTTCTCCACATCACACTTCTGTGTCACATCTTTGTTTGACAAATCCACTAATATTGTAACTTCAAGGATGAGCATGGGCCTCTCTCACACGGCAAGTTCAGTTCATTAAGAAATGATTGTGTGTCGATATTCTACAATTTCTGAGTAAAACGTTAACCTCCTACAGTACCCATTGCGTGAATTTAGCATTATATTTGTTATGTTTTTGAAATGAAATAAGCAAACATCAAGCCCCAGGAGAGCGAAATGCCCTCCGGTGGACAAACAATGGATGGCAAAACAGTTTCTTAATTAATCTCTCTTCTTTCTTTTTTTAGTATTTATGAGTCTATTCTGCCAAATTGCGATCTTTCTGATAATACTCTACTGCAAATTAATAAATAAGAGACACTTCAAAAAAACATCTACCTGATATTCAAGAATGCTTTATACCTAATGTTGGGCATTAATACCACTGTAAACATTTGTCTGTTTTATTACAATGCGCAGGCTTCTGATTTGTAATGAGGTCATTTTAATCCTGAACAAAAGCTACTTCTACAGAGAACTCTATCTATGTTAACAGACAGTAGGAAAGTTGGCTGCCTAACCAACCAGTCATGTTCTTTTTTTAAAAAACAGGTCCCTTGTATCCATACTAAAGAAAAAGTACTTTCACTTCGTCATTCCCCACTCTCCCCCTCCCCGATTTCTGACTCAATCCACTGTCCTAAATCTACATAAAAGCATAAAATACCTAAAAATAAACTTTAACAGAAAAGGCTTGTTTTCTATAAGCTTTGTTTTCACTGATTGGAAAATCAGTCCCTAAGGTGGGAACTCGATCAGTGATTACAGTTGTTAAAAACTAACAAAACAACCTCATTTAAAAGTACATAGTTGAAAGATAAGGCTTTGTTTAGCAACAGAAATTGATTGAGAGAAAGATATCCAATACTGAAATATCTCCTGACTCAGGGGTACAGAGGGCAGTTGATGGAGCTGCTGTTATCTAAAGACGATGTTTTCTCAGTAGTAACAGCTACACATGAGGAGCCGTGATGAACACATCAGCAATAAGTCATCATTGGGCAGCTCAGTGGGCAGTCCATGGCAGGGCAGCACTATTTTTAGTTAACTGGGATTAAGATGAAACAAAGTTCCTGTTCAAGACAAGAGTTTGCCAAGGAGAGATTAAACCTTGTATGGAGTTTTCAGACAGCATGAGATGTCCCTCAAACAGTCTGTAGTAGTCTAGTCTAGATCCAAGGCCTATAGTTCAGGGTAATGGAAAAGTTGATGTTGTTTCTGACACTGTGAGATACAAAGTTCAACACTGATGCAGACGCCTTTTGCCCCCCCCTCTCAAATTCAGTCTGTTTATGAAAGTGAGCTGGAGTACAGATGTTCATAATATAAAATCAAACACATAATCTCGGGTAATATACGAAAACTATTTTTTTTTTTACTTCAGTCATCACGTTTAGAGGGAAGGGGCTACACATTGAGAAAAGTTAACATAGAAACCCATCGCTGATTCGTTGTTAGTACAGGAAGTTTACATTTATTTAAATAATTCAAACTCCACCTGCACGAAAAGGTTCAAGACCCTACATCCTGTCTGTACCCCCTCATGTCGCTATGTCAATTCTAAGTAGCCTTTACATCCTAATTTAACCTACAACAATGAAAAAACATCCCCAAAGGTGACACACATTTGACGTACGCTTAAAGAAACACAAAAGCACTAACTTAATTTGTTGATGCCCCATGTCAACAAACGGAACTCACCCGACGATGAGGAAAACAACGACGGCCAAAGTCAAGTAATTTGTCTGATAATAGAGCAGGTTACTGACGACTCTGTTGTTCCATCTCGCCAGATCTTTAAAATCTGGTTTAGAGAATCTTTCCGAGCCGGGGAAGAAGTCGTCCCAGGGTCTGAGCGGCGTCAGCTCTACTTTAGCCATTTGTCAACTGCTTCTGCTTTTTCTGACAGTACCGCTCTCAAACATCGGGAGGATAATCTTCTTCTAACCTGAGGTCTCGCGAGAACCTGCTGTCTCTTAATCCCCGCCCAATGACCCTGACGTAATCTCGCGTTATTGGATAGCAAGAGATGTACTTCCTGCAGCGCTTCCAAGCAGTTAAGGTATCATGAAGCAGTAACTACGTCGTCTGCCTTAAAATCTTCTACTGGTATTTTAGGTCAGTTCTGTGTGTTATAATGGTACGTTTATTTTTGATATAATAATTCCGCGTATGCTATGGCAATGTATGACAACGCGAGAGAGCCGCACACCGCAAAGCATGGTTTCGTTCAGTGACATGTAAATGAGCTGCCTCGAAGAAGTCTGACAGTCAAAGAGGCACATGATGACTGTTTTGTTGTATTAACAGATGTGGAGCAGAATATTGAGTCCTCGTCTAATTGGTAGATCAAGTTTACATTGGAGGAGTCTGTTCACTATGAAGCTGAAGACCAGTGAGTTCCAGTCTCTGTTCAGCGACGGACTGAATGGGTTAGCAGGTGAGGAGAACTAGGTATCATGTCATGCTGTTTCATCTAACGCTACTATTTAGTTTTTGTTGCCCACAGAAATGTCATTGAACGTGGATTGTGCTGTGGAATTGAGACAGCATGATCTGTTTTTGTTTTTGTATTTTTTTTTTTTCATTTTTAACGCTTAGTTCAAAGCTTGCAAGTGTTTGTTTTTTTCATGGGAATGAACAATGTTTATGTTTTTATCATTCAAAAATAATCTATAAATAACTAATAATGTATCAGTAAATATCTTATTTAGTGTTTATTTGAATGAAATGAAGGTAAAAAATTAATAAAATAAATAAGCAGTTGCCTGTGATAAATGAAGTGATTCTGTTTATGGGTTGTACGGAATAGATTTCATAAAATTACACTTTTTACAAAGTCAAAGTTGTTGTTATAGATGCCAAAATATCCTGAGCTTGAAAATGGAGGATAATGGATAAAAAAAAAAAACTTTTATAATAACCCAGCTTAATCATCTTGTCTAATTATCTTTTACACTCTTTACTCTACATCTCTAGACTTTGACTGATGACTGTGTGAAGCAAAGATAATGACATCATCACTTTTTCAGACTTTGTCAAAGCCCCCTTTAATGGCACAGATAATACACAATCCTTTCAGGTGCAGAAGACCAAGTCAAGTGGTCTTTATATGATACAGTGGTGGAATTTATCTCTGAATATGCCTGAACATGCTCAGGGACCTAACAGCTGTCATTGTAGACATAAAGCACATCTCCTCATCTGAGCTGAAGGCAATTATAAACTATTAAAAAATCAATAGTTGATGTTAACAGACTAGTCGGCTTCTCGTCAAACTGGAAAGTGCAGTCAGAATATAAATCAAAACAAAATGAAATGGTTTGTATTAGATCACAAAAAATGAAATTATTTACATAAACGTTTCCTATCCATCTAGATGTTTCTATTTTTAGTTTAGTGATTTTTTTTTTTTTGCTTGTTCCAGACACACTTCCTTTTAAAAAGTGACCCACTTTACATTTGTTCTTCCCAGAGGTGTTTGGGAAGCACCAGTATGAGCTAAGGATAGCTGGAGGTGCTGTACGGGACCTGCTGTCTGGGAGGCGACCGGATGATGTGGACTTTGCCACAACAGCCACTCCAGAGGAGATGAAGCAAATGTTCCATAGGGCTGGGATCAGGATGATCAACAACAAAGGAGAGAAGCATGGGACCATTACAGCAAGAGTAAGACACTGAAGTGTTCAAGCTGCCACACATATAGATTTGGCTTTTTCATAGTATTTTGGAATCCTGCTTTGAAGATACGTAGATACAAAATATTATGTTCTTTACTTTTGCAGAAGAATAGCTAAACTAAATATCCAGGTGTATATGCCAATGAAGGCTTCTGAGTGAAACTAGCTCATACAGATTTTTGAAGAAATATCAATTCTTATGATTATTGTTTTGTTTCTTCAAATATTTGAATCTCACATTAATCTGGTAAAAACACATAAAGATGTTGATTTAATATGTAACCACATGTACTCAAACACGTACAAGTCATAGGATACGTAGCAGCAGGGATACAAAATGTATTACAACAGTTTTCACACCGAGCAGTTGCATCATGGTAGACTTGCTGTAAGTACTATGTGGACCATTTACTTCTTCGACAGACAATTAATCCTCTATCAGTGGGTCTCTAATCTTAATTTTAGATGTTAATGTATTAGCCTAACAAATGGATTGGTTGAAAGAATGGATTCTCTTGTAGTTTACTGCCCAGTTACAGAATGTAAGAGTAAGTTGCATCTATTTGGCAGACATTATAAGCAGGTACATAACAGCTACATGATGATGGATTGATAAAAATTGTTGTGAAAAAAATAAAAGTTCCACTGTAAATATTGTGAGAAAGCTATAAACTGTTACAGCACTGAAAAACACTTTTTAAAACACATTTCTTTGCTTTACAGATACACAATGAGAACTTTGAGGTGACCACGTTGCGAGTGGATGTCCAGACAGATGGACGTCATGCAGAGGTGGAATTCACCACTGACTGGCAGAAGGATGCTGAGCGAAGGGACCTCACCATCAATTCCATGTTTTTAGGTATAATTGTGCTATCCTCCACTGGTTGAAGAAAAAGACGTGACTTTGCTCTTTGATTGTGTTGTGAAGTTGCTAAGTATGATGTAAATCTTGGGTTCATTTTGAGGTCGTTGTTACTCTTTTTTGACACTTTAACTTCCCATTTTTTTTCCCTTCTCCCCCCCCTCCCCCCCACCAGGTCTTGATGGCACATTATATGACTATTTTAAAGGGTATGAGGATCTGCAGAAGCGTAAAGTTAGGTTTGTTGGCAGTGCTGAACAAAGAATGCAGGAGGACTACCTGAGAATATTGCGTTATTTCAGGTGTGCTACCTTCATTTTGTTTTCAACTTGGTTTTAAAAAAAAGTTCCTTTTTTTCTTTATTGGAGATGAATGTTATTGAAACAAAGAATATACATATTTGACAAAATGACATGGCAACCCTTCTATCTCTTCCCAGGTTCTATGGCAGAGTGGCTGTGGAGCCTGATGACCATGAGCCAGAAACACTGGCTGCCATCAGGAAAAATGGCCGTGGCCTGTCGCCATATCAGGAGAAAGAATTTGGATGGAACTAAAGAAAATGGTGGTTGGTAACCATGTTGATCATCTGTTGGAGCTGATGTACAGTCTGGAACTGGCTCAGTACTTAGGTGAGACAGATAGTGGGAATGGGCAATGACAGGATTTTAATCACAATGTCTGTAATAGTTCTACAGAGAGACTTGCCTTTTGTGGCACCGACTCAAATCATTTGATTAAACCCTACCAGGGTGATAAATGGTGACTTCAAAGCCCACATCCACATTTGTCTTTGTGGCTTTCATAGGCACAGAGCCTCTAACCCAAGCTGTGATAACCCTCATTACATCATTGTGGCACCATTTAAGAACAAGTCACTCCTGGCTGAAATATAGATTTTTTTTCTCCCTTATACCTGTGTCAATAATAAATGTTCCCACATTATGGAACATATTATCCTCCTATTGTGGCTTAGAACACTCCTGAAAGGTTTCTGTGAGGACATCTTTTCAGCAATTATTTGCAAAGTGCAGGCATCAAATGCCTGCATATAATCAATATTGTCAAAGCTCAACAATTCTTGAGAATCACAATCATTTGGATCTGTTTCTGAAGGGGAAACATCTGACACCTTTTCACCTGTGTTGCTCTTTAAGCTCTGCTTTTATTCCCCACAAAACAGATATTATTTATTCAGTTTTAATAACTGACTACAGGTAGTCTACAATTCATTTAGCAGACACTTTTGTCCAAAGAAACATATAGCAGAGAGTGAGTACAACACAAGCAAGGATCTAGAGAGGAGGAAACAACATCAGTAAGTGCAAACAAACAGCTTTAAGTCAGTTCGGACACAAGGGCTGACTGGCAGTGCACAGAGACAGAGCACTTTTTCCCCCCCTTTAAATTAAAGTTAATATATCATAATCAACAACATCGATTACTGCTCCTGAGTTCTAGTCAGCATCAAAACCATCCTCAGTATCACCATCGGTCTTATCGATATCAATTCTCAATATCATGATGTGCACATGTGTTTATGAACGAGATGGTTATTTAGCTTTTTCTTAAAGATGCAGAGAGACTGCAGATCAAATGGCGTTTGGTAATTCATTCCACCACTGGGGGGCAACAGAGGAGAAGAGTCTAGCTGGAGACTTAGGGCCCTATTGTGAAGGATTGCCTTTCATTTGCAGGGTGTAGTGGGCAGGAGGGAGTGTAGACCAGGACTAGAGAGTGTAGGTAAGGAGGAGACGTTTTTGTCACTGTTTGGTAATCAAGCGGCAGGGTTTAAATTGGGGAGTATGTCAAGAATAAATATTAAATAGGGAGAACAACAACCTGAACACTTCTACTTTAGTTTTTTTTAGTTTTTTTTAGCATAACCCCAATTACATGGATTGTTAATGTTCGCACTAGTACCTCATCTTGTAAAGTTTTGGTAGCTGATGTGAAATCTTATAACTGCTTCCTGTCCCTGCTGCTCCTCAGGTTTACCTCCAGATGGCAACGTTAAGGAGATGAAGCGAGTGTGGCAGAATACCAAAGAACACTCTCCTAAACCCATGACCGTCCTGGCTTCTCTCTTCCACCGCCCAGAGGAGGTGGAAAAGATGGACCTCCGACTGAAGGTATCCAGGGAGGAGAAGACTCTGGCTCTGTTCCTGGTCAAACACAGACGAGAGCTCCTCAAAAACCAAGATGAGCCACAAAGCCTCAAGCCCTACACTGACTTTATCATTGACGTGAGTTTCACAGTCCTTCAGATAGTACAATAATAACTCAGTAATAGTAATCGATAAGTTTATCAACAGTTTAAAACACAGACACATTTGTCTTCAGGTTTATCCAACATGGATATTTCTGCGTCTTCGTTAGTTAGTGAAATGAATACAATATGTTTGGGTGTCATCAATTTGCAGACTTAGAGATATGGCAGATAAAAGTGCCGATCATTTTTTCTCGAAAGCCCAAACTATCATGCTTTTCTGGAAGAACAGATTGTGAAAATTCTAATACATTTAGAAACAGCCATACTCTATACACTATGTAGAATTTGCATTTTTTTTCCCAAGTTCTAGCTGAACAGCAGGAGACCTGCATCTGCAGTAAATGGACATGATAGTGCTTTTCTAGTCTTCTCTCTACTCAAAGGGCTATTATACTGCAGGTCACACTTACCCATACACACACATTCACACACTGATGGTAGAGGTTACTATGCAAAGTGGCAATCAGAAGTAACTAATCCATTCACACACATTCATATGACGCCTATGAAGCTGCGGGAACAATTCAGGGTTTAGTGTTTTGCCTAAGGACACGTCGGACATGTAGCTGGGGATCGAACCCCTGACATATTTTAAGCTAAATCATTTAATAAGCAAAAATAACATGCAGAAAATGATGGTAGTAATTTCTTCAGATATGAGGTTTCAGTTATTTTGTCATCTAGAAATGTTTGCTTAGAGATAAGGATAACATCTTTTCTGTGAAAACTTAGTTTAGAAACTTTCTCAACCGTTTAAATGTTAATATAAATATCTCAACTTAAATAGATTGAATAAGTGATTTGAAAGGATTCAGTTGTAATTCACTCATTTAACTCTAATCTTAGAATACCACACTAAACACATATTCAATATTAACAGAAGACTGCAAGGCAGGGTGAAGGTGTGCAACAAGAAAATACATTTTTGCGACAGATTAAGGAGCATGTTTTAAATGCATTTGCTAAAAAAAAAGAAAAATCTTTCTTCTTGCTATTACAGGTGGTGTAGTCCTACATGTATGCACCCTAGTCATAAACACAAAGGACACTTTGCTGTACCTGTATTACCAAACAGGATTTGGGGATATTTGATTCAAAATGTGGGAACCAGGCCACTGGCGATCAAATCTAGTCAAACACAGTCCTAATGCAGCACATAAACCGATCTTTCAAATGTAAAAACATTTTTTTCTGACTTTATCTTTGATTGTTGCACGTACTCTTTTCAGAGTCGGGAGCTGGATTCCAAGACCAAAGTGTGTGAGCTACTTAAGTATCAAGGTGAGGAGAAGCTTCTGGAAGAGCTGTGCAGGTGGTCCATCCCTCACTTCCCCGTCAGTGGCCATGACCTCAGAAAGATAGGTGTCACCACAGGCAAAGAGATAGGTGCCACTCTACAGAATCTCCGTGACATCTGGAAGAAAGTCGTTATCAGATGGACAAAGATGAACTTCTCAGCTACGTGAAGACGTAGCAGAGACAAAAAGAGACTGTCGGTTTTTGCTGAGAAAAGGCCACTTCAAGTGCTGAGACATAAACAAATGAATTTCATTTTAGAATAATGACACTTTAGTTAACCATTCTTTAACTACAAAGACATCAGAAACACAATTTTATTTTAGCATCACAGCTGCTACCAAATGAGAAAATGTATTATGGACAAAAGCAGCTAAAGCCGCTACTTTTGTAATTAGAAATGAGAGCGTGTTGATGTGCAAATTGAAATCTTAACTCTCAATCCGTCAATGTTTATAATATAAAGATACATTGGAAAGCTTAAGTTTGGTTTGGGTTTCTCATCATTTCAAATGCCGCCACCGGTATGTTTTCTTTTCTTTGTGTAAAGACTGTTCAATAAAAAGTGTGGCCACACGATTGAATTGAATTTATTTATTTAATAGGGACAATGCAATTTAACATAATTTCAATACAAAGCATTAAACTGATGTGCTGCATAAAGAGTATATTGCTAATTTCCAACTCGTGTCCCCAGTTGGGCCTTTGTGTAAACAAACAGATTAGCATGTGGATTCTTGAATGTAAACAGTATAAGCTTAAACCTAATACAGCTGTTATAATGTGATGTCTTGGGCACTGCCAGACAGGGAGTTGCTCCTCCCTCCTGATGAGATGAGATATAAAGCCTGCTGCTCCGTCAGTTTCAGTTTGTGCTTGGAGACTGTCAGGACCTGTTGCCAAGTTGATCAGTTGTCATGAGTCAAAAAGTCATATTTTTAAAGGCACTCACTTGAAGTAGTTCTATAACAGCGTTCAGTTGCTCGATGATTGGGGATTTTTTTGTTTGTTTGTTTTAAGCATGGCTTTGTTCGATGTAAATATCAGTAACATTACTTTGGAGCGTACTCAGTCGGAAGACGAGCCGCGAGATGAGCGCTTAGCTTATGTGGAAATAGCTCTCCTTTCCAGTATTTTCATCACTGCAGGAATGCTGAACTTTGGGCTTCTTTTAGTCCTGTGGAAGCGGAGGAAGCAGCTCTCCAGGATGCGCGTCTTTGTTTTCCACCTGTGCGTCGCCGATCTGGTGGTGACATTCTTTCAAGTTTGTCCCCAACTCATGTGGGATATCACTGACAGGTTCGTCGGCCCAGATATATTGTGTCGCTTAGTGAAGTACCTGCAGGTTGTCGGGATGTTTGCTTCTACTTACATGATAGTGGTGATGACGATAGACCGATATCAAGCTATCTGCAACCCCATGGTGACCTTCCAGAGGCGCAGGGCTCACTGGAACGGCCCTGTGAGCGCAGCCTGGTGCGTCTCTCTCATCGGCAGCCTCCCACAGATTTTCATCTTCTCACGGGTCGAGGTGGCTCCCGGCGTGCACGACTGCTGGGCACAGTTCATAAAGCCGTGGGGACCGAGAGCCTACGTGACCTGGACGACTCTGGTGATATTCGTTCTGCCCATTCTAACGGTGGTCGTGTGCCAAGTGCGCATCTGCCGAACCTTACATTTTAACTTTCAGATGAAGACACATCGTGATGGAGAGGCGACCAGTAAGCCGCTGCATTCAAGAGCCAGCAGCGTGGCCGGAGTTTCCAAGGCGAGGGTGAAGACGGTGAGAATGACGGCGGTGATCGTGGTCGCATACATCATCTGCTGGACGCCTTTCTTCACCGTGCAGCTCTGGTCTGTTTGGGACGTCGAGGCTCCCACACAGAGTAAGAGAAGAGGGTATGGGATCTCACATCACAGAATGAATGCATAAGTTAGATTGGCTTTGTCAGAGATAAAAAAAAAAAAAACATGTAAAACACATTTGTAGAATTCAAAACATTGCAGAACAGCATTAGAATATCAGAAATTGATCCTGCCTGATTTAACAGATCAAATTCTTTAAAAAGATAAGTATATTTTTTTTCCGCATTTCCTTGTCTATCTTTCCAGCTGCAACCTTCACTATCTTGATGCTGCTTGCCAGTCTGAACAGCTGTGTGAACCCCTGCATCTACCTGCTCTTCAGTGGGAAGCTTCCTAAAAGTCTGGGGGCCCTTATGTGTGCGGGTGAGCCCAATCTGAAGGACTCCATCCAGGATGAGGCCACTATGGTCAGCTCCCTTTACATCAGCCTCAGGAGCAAGACAGACAATCGATAGAATAATATCACTTTCCTAACCTCAGGTTGTTAAAATGATGTGCGAGTCCTGTGGGGCTTAAGGTCTTTGTATTGTTGAGAGACAACACTGTGGCATTACAAGGCTATTTTGACCACTTAAATTCAGAAACCACATCAAAAAATGGATCCTGTTATTTTATCAGATATACAAATGTTAAGGAAAAGCAATGTAAGGTTTGGGTCATTGGTTTATCTCATAACTTAAATTTGTGAAATAAGGGATACTTCTAGTAATGTATGTATTTTACAGTGATTTAAAAGTGGATGTGACTTATTTTGTGTAAATATGTAATACTTCACATATGTCATGTGTCCGCTGAATATGAATCCTCAGGCTAATTTAAAGACAAGTACATGCATGTTGTGTGTTTCTCAAGTATCTCAAAATATGCAGCAAAACTCTCACTTGTAAATGTCACTCGTTTACATGAAGACTTTTCCTCTCATCCCTGAAGACCTCAGATGTGCTGCCCTGCCAAATGAACTGTTGTCTTGTTTTCATACTTCCCAGCAGCAGTATTGGAAAGGGCTCGGCCACATAAATTTCAGTTTTCAGTTCATGCTGTACTTTTGAAGGCCACTCATTTTCAGCGAAGTGATGTGAGGTTGCATTATTTTTTTATTTTTAAGGGGGGAAATGATGATTTTGGTCTAAGTATTTTAAAGATGTTTCCTTTATCACAGCATGTCATCTTAAGGGCAGTTGATCAACATGAGCAAAACCTGGCATATAAGATTCATGTAAAAAATCTGAAAACTTTAAGATGACCCTCCTTTACTTCCCTTTGTTAAAGCTCTGATTATAGAAGGTGGGAAATTGATTTCTCCAAGTAGTACAAACTAATCCAATGCAAATCGTCCTACAAAGAGGGCTTTTGTTGTCATCAGAGACTGTCTGGCAGGTGGCTGGAACTCAACTTTGACCTTTAACGCTAATAGAATGACCAGCAGCCACCTATGCAGCACTTCCAGCAGCTGTACATTCAGAGAGGAAAGGGATGGGGATGTGTTTGAGAAGTCATGGCATCGTTCATCATTTAGACAGTGCACAGCATGCTCCATCTTCTCATTTATTTATTGATTTATTTTTTAAACAAAGGAATTATCAAAGTGTTACAGGTTGACATTCTGCAAAATCCTGTGTGTTAACAAGGCTATAGCACCAGTAACATGTTTACTGTTGGACTATATGACATTTGTAAAAAGTTGATCAGTTTATACACGTCCTAAAATGTTAATAAAATCCTTTTGCTGCTTTGCAGTCACATGCTCAGCGGAGTACCTTCACTTGGAATTCAAGTAACATGAAACAAAAAAATGATGTTTTTGGATTTATTATGCACATGGCACATTGGTTTTCTTGGGGTTGTTATTCATTTTTTTCATTACAATAAAGAGATATCTAAATAATTGGTATCTCTGCCAAAATAAATAAAGCCTTTTTGTAAAGGTTCCGGTTGTGATCCATTGGTGAAATATTTGAGCCTGCTAACACGGTTAACTTCAAATAAAATCACTTTGCTGTAGAAGCCTCAAACCCAAGTGGAAAAAAAGTGAATTATTGAGCCTTCAAGATGATACGTGTTCAAAGTAACAATGCTTCCTCTTGAAAGAAACCAGGCCCTTGACGTCTGAAATTGTTCTTTCCAATGGAGCCACTTGTAGAGATTGCTCACTGCATTTGAATTCACAGCTATTTCATTCCTTACATACATAATTACATAACACATGTTTACTGCTGTGGACTGAAATAAAGATGAAGGTGTTGCTGTTTTCAAAGGTTTAAACATACAGTTGTACATCACTGACAGCTTTATACGCATGAAGAGGTTATTTGTTGCATTTAAATAACCTCTTCACAACACAAGTCCTGTGAAATGGTCAAATTGTGTCACCTGCTAGATAGTTTCTGTCCTTTCGATTGATTGAGAGGATGTCTTGGTGGGTCTTCACATTTAATATAAAAACCTCTAACAGAAAAATATAGGCTATAAACCACAAATTAATTAATTAATTTTAAAGGAATGTTTTCATTGCTCACTGTTTTTGATGTGGTCCAATACATGTATTTACATACATGCTTCCACATGTTCTTGTGTTTTGTGAGTACATGGAAATAAATGTCTTGAATTCTGTTCTGTATAATATTTTATATTTAACATTCTCCTACTGACTACATCTTTGTAAAAAGAACTACATGTTGTAATGCCTTGGGGTACAAGCTTACTATAATTTATAAGAATAAACATTTTGATTTATCACCACCAAGACTCTGTGATAAGCGACTTCAAAGCACCGGATTCTTTATGCGCGCAGAGCTGATTACTTATAATCATTCATTCTTATTGACAGCTGCCAAATGTCATATATCTGTATTTCTTTAGGAACCTTTTATTTTATTTAATATTTTCATATTGAATCTTCTATGTGATTGTTAATGGTTTGTTTTAGTGATTTAAAAATGTTCAATCGGAATGATTCTTTTTCCCTTTTTCTTGCTGCTTTTGATGTTTAGTGTGAAGCACGTTGAATTGACTTGTTGCTGAAATGTGCTTCATAAAGAAGCTGGTCTTGACCACAATAATTATTAAAAAAAAGAGCAAAGAAAGTTGCATTAATGTCAGATAGGAATGTTTAAAATACTGTAGAGTAAAACCATTCTCATTCTGAACACCAAAATACTGAGCAAGAAGAGCAAATATTACAAACATTAAAAACATTTAATTCCAATGAAGTAATCTGATTGGACAAGAGGCATTCCAAAGTCAATATGATCTATCTCTTCAGTTAAAAATAAGTAGTGTAATCAGGTAGATTTATAAAAACACCCTGAATTTTTGACACATGTGTACAATTATTATGAAAACATGAAGACACTGTTGTAAACCACCGTACATTTACTAGAATTTGTTAAAGTGGTATCAACTGAATTTCATCAATTGATCCATCCATTATCAATACCACTGTTGTAGGCTAGTTAGGCAACACAAAGAAACAAAATGGCTATAGGCTGTCAGAGCTCTATCTCATAGTCCTTCTCCATAAAGCTAGGCTCTACCCTCAGTCCCAGTTTTTGCCCAAACCAGGAGGCACAGCAGCCATGAACATAACTTTATTGAGCCAACAAACAATAAAAAGCGTTATGCATTGAATGTTTGCATTTAATCAAATAAATGTATTTTTTATCAATAGTGCTAACAAACAAACTCTAAGCTAAACAAATGAGTATTTTTTAAGTTTAGTTATGTGACCACAAATGTATATAACTTAACATTTGATAATGATGTGAGTGTGGAAGTTTAAAACATGTTATATGTGGCTATAGTCATCAGAAACTCCTATCAAGTTTGATGTTTAAGGGAGGGCTGAGGCTGATCCAAGCTGTCATTGGGTAGACCCTGAGCAGAGAGACAGTCAATCACAGGCCTGACATGTATAGAGACAGACAACTGTGCACACTCACACATACAAGCATCTTCTTAATGGCCTATGATCGAGCATGTCTTTAGGCTGTGGGAGAATACCAGAGAGAACACTCAGGGACAGCGAGAACTCCACATAGAAAATACACTCCATGAACCTTCTTGCTTTGAGGAAACAGTTTCAAACCCCTGCACCACCATGCTCCGTACTAAAAAACAAGTTCAAAACAAATGACAACATGTTTTAATCAGAAGGGAAATTAATTGAACCCTGCAGCAATTTCACTATTGATTCTTTAAGGTGGGATCTTCAGATTTCTTTACAAGGACCTGGCTGGTGGCTTACTGCTGATGCAATTTTACAAATAGATGACATGTTTGAAATTCAATTACTTGACAGACTAATTGAGCCCTGTCAATACAAATTTCAACAAGAGCAATGTCCTTGACCACAATCCTTCTTCGTACATTTGAGACTGCTCCTGCTCTGTTGTGTATAGCTATGCACATGCAGATGGCTTTAGTCATATGCATGTGCCTGGCCATCGCAAAGAGGAGGAGAATGCAGACAAAAAATGGAAAGAATTTTAATTGAAATGGGGTTTGGTGGTCTGCCACGATTTCAAGGCAATGTTAGAAAATGCATAAATAACCAACACCTGTTCAGGGCAAATGCTATTTTTTTTTTTTTTTTTTTTTACACTGATCTATTCACTGGCTGTGCTGTTTTTGAAGGAGTACATTTAGCAGAGGAAAACTGGTGCTCCAACACTCTAACTGTTGGAAGACTAAATTGAAAAAGCAAACTATTACAACTCACATGAAATCAGAACATTCAAGAAAGCCATTGAGATAAATAGTAAAGGCTCTGTGTTGTGTAAACTTTCATTAGTGGAAGTTTGTGAATGGCACAATGACGAGTGAGAAATGCATTACAAACCTGGAGGACTTCCTGCTGCAGTTTTGCTGAGGAGCTTGTGAAAGGATTTTCTTTCACAGCAAGATGTTGACATTAAACAAAAGGTCAACGCCGCAATGCCTTCAATACAAACAATATACAAGTCCTGCTGTGTCCAAGTTGGATCAAGACCTACAATCACACAAAACCTCCTGACAGGACTTCAAAACAGACTTTACCTTCTATTGCCATTTAGATTAAAAAGGTAGCTTTAACAAAAGCAATTTTCGAAGTTTCAAAGGAACTGCAGACCTGCACCTGTTCACCTATTACTGAAAAACATACTTCTCTTAATAAATATGATGTACTGTACTGAATAATCATGAAAAGAAAAATATATATAGGTTTACAATTGTGCATATTCAATGTCTATTTTTAGTTCCCTTTACACTGATTTAGCAACGTTTCATTGAAGTTCAGTCAAGAAGATGAAACCCATTTTATAGACATGAATCAAATATAGTGATGCTAACTGGAGGTGGAATAGAGCTGTTTTGTTACCCCAACAGTCCATGTAACTGAGACAAAACTAGACCATCAGACGGTAAACAGTATTTCCTTGATGTATTGGTTTCTTTTGGAAGACACTCTGGGTTCTGTGTTGTGTCGTGTGTAAACTAATGTGCAAAAGTGGGATAGCAGTAGGAGATATAGGTAAGGAGGTAAACATTGACTGCAGACAAGCTGAGAGCCACATGAGCTGTAGATGAAAACCAACTTCCATCAACCTCAACGCCCTCTTCCTCTTGACTGAATCCACTTCAAGACTGGCATTAGAATACGTTGCCTCATGGCACGTTCTTCTTTCTGAAGGGTTTCATTATGTCAGACATTGCACTGAAGAACCATACATATGATTTAGTAGTTAGGTAAAGGCTCTGATCTTATCTGCACTGACCAAACATTCGCTTCATCTATTATACTATTTGAAGAAACTGACTCCAACTGTCTATTAGCTAGTAGAGTGAGGCAATATTGATGATCTTGGCAGAACACAAGAGAAAATAAATGATCAATACAAGGATGGGTTGAGGGTGTTGATGATGTTAAGAATCAGAGCTTTGGTATGGCATATCAATAAGACCGAAGTCGTGATGAATTCTAAATGAATTAATATTCTTTCTTTAGCTTAATTTTCTCAGTTTTATCCAACATACAGTATCTGAAAGCTCTCTGGCCATACCGGGAAAAATGACAGAGTATTTTAGCATCAATCACATATGAAGTCCCTACATTCTGTCTCTGTAAATTACACATTGGCTATCGTGCACAGTGGAGAGCTACTTATCATCAAAGTGGTGAAACAGTCAGGAGTCTGCATTAAGTCATTAGTTTAAAAAAAGAACATTTTACTTGGCCTATTTTGGCTTTCTAAAGTGTATTTAGATAGTTGAATAAGGTTTACTATAAAGCCAGGTGAATCTGATAATGTTATTGTTGTTGCTGCCCAGTAACTCTAATTGGAGAAATGGTTTCCAGTTAGCATGTCCCTTCTGGAATAAATTTAAACAAACTGATGGAAGAAAGAAATGTGAGGTGTCCCCTTAATGTTTACTGTCTTAATATTTATTATCTTTTAAGTTAGTGCTGATAGCAGTTTAATTCTGACATGACCTTACATCAATTTGCAACACGCTATACTGTAGTTTACAGCACACTTAGGGGTTGTTTATACCTTTTATTAGTGATGTGGTCTGGCTGATTGGATAAGTGGAAAGCTTTCAGCACAGCTGTTCACACCTTTACAGATCGTACTTTCAAAATGAGTATCCAGTAACCACTTGTGATCGGGTTTCACTTTCCTGCTTCATACGCATATCGACATGGAGTCCAATTCAACCTCATGAGATTTTTACAAACTTTAAATGATGACAACAAACAAAAGAGAATTGAAGATGTAAAACTTTGTTTGATCATTAAGACTGATCTTTTCTCTGCAGATCAGT